CATGTATATGTTTATTGGGCCTCATTGACCCATTAACATGTGCGACGGACTTTGGATACTATTTGTGTGCCATTTGGGCCTGTAAATACTTTACATGTGAAATGGGCCTTAGTTGTCCTTTCATATATATTTCGGGCACATCTTATATAATCTCATTCAAATTTGGGTCTTGAAATGATTTACATGTTTAGCGATGCCTTAGCAGTTCACTTACATGGATCATTAGGACTTGAAGGAGTTTATACCTTTTTCTTCGCGTAAATTCGATAAGGATCTAGTGAGTTTTTGTCGGTTGGCACCTATTAAGTGTACGATCGTAGCCTCTAGTTATAACCAGAGTCTCTTGGAGGGAGAATGGGGATTTGTGTATAGATCTATACGGGGTTGACACCCCACACCTCAGCTGTTCGCTACAGTTAGACTAACTCAGTCTAGGGTGACGAAAACCTTATAATCAAAGTCAAAATCGGCGTCCAACGACACCAAGAGAGGTGAAATTGTCATTATTTAGTATGGTTATGACAGCTCGCTTAGAGGAATTAACATTATGAAGTTTATGGAAGACCTTGTTTTTTAACAGGCAACATCGAGTTGTCTGGGAACATTCTCTTTACATGCTCTTACATTCTCTCTACATTCTCTTTACCTTTTTAGTCAAATAAACAATAACATACATGCATTAATACAAGATCTAACACAAACACACTAAACAATTTTCAGAAAATATTTGATTTTCTGGTGGTTTTCAAAGTTATACAAATCATTTTCACAAACATGATTATGAACTCACCAACATTTTTATGTTGACCATTTTCAAAATAACTTGTATTCTCAGGAAACCGTTGAAGCAGGATGAACGAAACAAACTAATGGATATTGTGTTATATTTTGTTTCATCATACTATTTCGGCATGTAATATTCAAATATAATAGTCGGTGTAAACAATGAATGTTGTTATATTACATGTGTGATGATGATGATGTTATGTTTCAAATATATTCACTGTAATGATATTTCAAGATGAAGTCACGCACAAGCCCCCAGACGTTTCCGCCGTCTGGTTCGGGGGTGTGACATATATATATATATATATATATATATATATATATATATATATATATATATATATATATATATATATATATATATATATATATTGTAGGGTACCCGCGCGATGCGGCCGTGCCAGATAATGTAATTTAACAGATACTATTGTGTTGAGTAGTTCCTTTCGCTGAATAGTTTCTAGCAAGATACCTAGATGAGGGGATGGAATAGCTTCTTATTCGGTGTCATTTATTGCTCTGTTTTTTATTTTATGATTATTTTTATTTTATGATTATTTGAGAAACATATGAGGTATTTGCGTTCGCCCAACTATGTGTTAGATCATTTAAACCCATTTATCAATTTTATAATAAAATCTTTAATATTATTTTTAGTTAAAAAGCATAAATACTTTTTATATCTTTTTTAAATTAAAATGAAAGACATATTTAGCTCCAAAACGGATGCTAATAGTCTAGTTTTTAAGAAAGTTATTTAGAGACGACAATTTTAGATATCAAATGTGGATTTGGCAAACTTCTAAAGCTGATCACAATAACTGAACTATGTGTCAATTATATGAAATAAAAAAAGATATTTGTTAATATAGTTTTTTAAACACTACATAATAGATATAGATATAGAAAGGGAGTTATAGTTGTCCAACAAAGGTAATATTAGGGCCGTCCTTTCCATTAAATGAATTAAACCCTTGCTTAGGGCCCCGGTTAACACAATTCAGAAAAACTAGATGAGTGGATTCTTCATTCTCCATTCGTGCATGCCACATAAATCATCAGCAAAGTTAATGACCACTTTTTCCTCTCGTCTCGGATTCTCTATGTCAATTCTTGACAGAAACCAATCTTCATTGAATATCAATCGATTCTTGATTAATCAATTTTTGATTATGATCTTCTTCCTCTTATTCTCCACTGTTGAATATTTAAAAATCAAAATTCAAAACCGAAAACTTCAAGGTTTAACTAAAGCATTTCATTATCTTTGTCCACGAGGTATAACTACATAACCTTCTTCATGTTTTCACTTATGATAGATGATTTTATTCCACAAAATTTTCATTTTCTTCATTTAAGTTAGTCGCAATGTGTTCTTGCAAATGGGTCATTCCCAAAAGTCGATCTGATTGGGAAGTTAGTATTCTTGATTACGACTGGGAATCACTTGCCCCTCATCACTATAAGCATGCCCTCAAAAATTCATTGGGAATTTGATGTTTTGCCTCTTGAATTTACTAATGTAGACCATTAAAAGATGTATGTAGTATGATTTATTTAACCATTTCATTACAAAAAAGTGACTGATAAAATAATGTAATTCGAGTACAATATATATTCTTTGGATGATTTTGTAGTATTTTGACAATTGTTAATTTACATCTTTTCTTTTTCAACCGTGATACCTATAATTTTGACCCAATATGTATCAATTCAAGTAAAATACCTGGTCCGAATTCCACTTGGGACACCATTTTAGGCTTGTTTTCAAAAAGATTTGATAGCAGCTCAAGTACAAAAAATGGAAAATACCCATCATCTAAAAGAGCAACATGTTAGAATATTTTCTTTGATATTTTGTATTCCTTCCAAAACCGTTCTATCTGAATTGTGGGTGATTCTTTTTTTCTAACAGTTGCAATAGAGGATGCATCCATTGATTAACACATAAAAAGTCAAAAACAGAAAACCTCAAGGTCACTACAAGAAAAAGGTGCTTCTGTGACAAAAATATCAAAGACTGATTAATCAGTCTTGAATACAATGTATCTAGGACTGATAAATTAGTCTTAGATACTATCTAGGACTGATTTTAATTTGTGGATTATTAGAGTCTGGCCAAAATTATCCGAGACTAAAATTCAGTCCCTATTATGTTTGCATCGATTTAGGTTTGGTGGGAAACACATTAGGGACTGAATTTCTGTCTCGAATAGTTTAGCGCAAACTTTGACTTTGGAGGGGAAGTTATAAGGGACTGATTTTCAGTCACTGATAGACTTGTGTCAGTCTTGATTATGTAAGGAACTTATTAGGGACTGAAGTTCAGTCATTGATACAATTGCACCAATTTGTAGGAATTTATCCTACAGATGAGAAACATTTTAAAGACTGAATTTCAGTCTCTAATAGACATGCACTATTTGACATTCGAATGAACACATATAATTGGCTAGATATTTGTATTTAAGAATGATTATTTAGTCATAGATGCCATATATTAGAGACTGATGAATCAGTCACAAATACTAATTCGAAGGAAACTTATTAGGAACTGAAATTCCGTCTTGGATAAACTAAACACATTTGGCTTCAAAGAGAAATCATTATGGATTGAATTTTAGTCTTTGAGACACCCATGCCCTCCACTCCACATCATCCCATCTATTCCATTCACTTCCAATAACCACCACTTAGTCAACACATATAACCACCATCTTTAAGCTGCAACTATGGAGCATTACTTTGTGTTTTAGTTTGTGCTACTCATGTGATCATTTTCAAGAAGGGTGTGATGGGAAGATGAGCGGTTTGGTCATTTTCTTATTTATTAACAATATATAAATAATAAACAATCAATGAGGACATTTGATATATGGTATGAACCGAGACTTTAATAAAAACAAACAATGAGGACGATCCAAGCTAGAATAGAAAATGTTGGAAACTAAACGTGTTAATTAATACAAACCATATAGACTATTCATGTGATTTACTTTTAAAAAAGAAGGTTTTGAAAATCGTATTGTAGACCGAACCAGCCGTCTTACATGTTCGATGGTCCAACTTGTCCAACCGATTGGACCGGTCTCAAAAGCCGGGAAAACCTGATGATGTCATAATTACATTATTATTAATTTAAATTATATAGAAAATTACATAAAAAAAATATTTTTTAAATTTCTATTTTTTACCGATTCTTACAGGTTTAACCGATTCTTACCATTTTTTAGCGGTTCACATGACGAACAATTTTTTGGCTTCTAAGAACTGGGTTTGTGACCGTTCCCGATTGAACCGGCCGGTCCCATCGGATTTTAAAAACATGGTAAAAAACAAAAATTTATAGCAATTTGTATAAAACGGAAATAAAAAACATTGAAATTCAATTAAAAAATATAAAAACATTTAATTCTTTGGAAAAGTACGAGTCCAAAATTATTAAAAAATCTAACAAATAAAGTATGCATATTGCAAATAAGGAGGAACACTCCTGTGGTTTGGATGGGATACGGGATCAACAAGTCTTTTCCGGAATTGCCGAGAGCATGGATATAGATTAATGGTACGGTTATTCAATCACATTCGGCCGCACAAAACCCTATCAATACCTTACCAAAATTGAAGGAAGACTAGCGATTGCAAGGAGTCAAGGGCTTTGTGAAGTATTCGTCAATTCAAGGTAACATTAACTGTTTGTAGCTTTAATTTAATCGACTTTGATTTGGAATATGGTTATGCTTTGAATAATATATTGAAAGTCAATTCCAAAAAGTGCGATATGAATTGTCAACAAATACATGTCATATAATATGAATTGATATGATTTGGAATATGATTATGCCTTGAAGATGATACTCTTTTCTGCTAGAAATCTTTTCCCATTTAGATTTGATTAATTGTCAACAAATACAGATCGTCTAATATGAAGATTATTAAATAAATTACATAAAGCATTAGCAACTACAGGACTTCTTTTCAATATAAAAGTATTCAACTGTAAACCTTATATGTTACTGTTTACTAAAAGTTGAGTTAAAGAAAATTTTAAATGTAATGGATTTCAGATTTCTGTTTTTGACCTGATTTGTGTTTTTAACTTCAAATCTGAAATTTTGGACAATGTACTTTTTACAACCTTATCAACAACTTACACAATGTATGGGTGTTATTCAGTTATGTAATTCTATTTTATTTTTATTCGGGTTCGAGAAATGTACTTTCTAATTTCTGTAGGAGGAAGTGGTCCGAGAAAAAATCCTCAATCAACATCAAATTTGCTTGTTGGTGAAGGAACTGTCTCTAACACAACTGAGCCAGTAGTTTGCCAAAATACGGATTCTTTTCCCAAATCCAGCACTATAGGTAAAGATCATCAAACCATGGATATACACCCATGCTTAACACAATTTAGTGAAGATGGATTATAATATCATTTTCTTTTTTATTTTATAAAAGTCACTGCTATGTCTTCTTTTGCATCATTTTTTTAGTTTTTAAAGATCACCAGACCATGCATATAAACCCATGCTTTCTTATACAAAATAACAATAATTCCACTGTGATTGCCAAAGAAGAAAACCAGAAACAAAACCAGAAAGAAAACCAAATCCTTGTTTGTTTTATTAATTATCTACTTCAGATTAGTCTATATCTCTTTGTCTCTATCTATCCTCTCATCATAAACATAGAACTGTTACATCCTTTCATGGCATCTGTTGGAATAATCAAAATCTAGGATAGGTTTCACCCAGGGGTATTTTGGGAAAAACCATCGTATTTTTAGTTTTTTTTGTTAGATTAGGATTTTTTTTTTGGTTTAGTGTGAACTGTAAATGTATCTATGATGTTTTAATTAAGTTTTATTCATATTTTTCTCAACAAAACTTGGAGTATAAGAAAATTTTCCCAGAAAAATTTTCCCCTGTTTTGTTCTTCACCTATTTCGCCTCTGTATCTTGTTTTTATGTCTCTGGCCAGCTGTGATTTATGTGTTTCTTTCTTTCTTTCCACTTATGTTTATACATTTACACACTTACGTGACTAAAAAAACAGGAGGGAGTGGTTCTAGAGAAAATACTCAACCAGCTTCATTAGCCACAGATGAAGTCGTTCCAAGTAATAGTAGACAATTTATTCTTTTATTTATAATATTATAGATTATGCATTAGCTGATGTATACTTTCTGACGTGTAGATCAACCACAGAGGCGGAGGCGGGGCCCTAATATTAATAAAAAGGCATCACAGATTTTGGAAAAACAACCTGGTGCTCGAATTACATTGACAAGAGATACCTATACAAAGAAATTCATTGGGGATTCAGCAATATCTTTTGCAACGGAGGTTGGAATTGTGATGCGGAGCTTTTGTGAAATGGAATTCCATACTTGGGAGAAAGTAGCAAAAGAAAATAAAGAAGAAATGATTAACATATTGCGTGTAAGTTACATATCATTTTCCTAAATCTATTCATTTTTTTGTTAAAATTTAAAATTCATAAATGGAAGTAATTTATTATTATAATTTAATTAATAATGTTCAATTTTAATTTTTGTATTAAATGTAGGAAAAATTTGAATTGCCGCACGAAGATAAAGTTCTGATGGAGTATGTAGATGAACAAATGCGGAGGCAATGGAAACGCACACGAAATATTTTCAAAGATTATTGGAAGAAAAATGGAGGAATGACAGATCCACAATTTGCAAGATCTAAAATCAAGTCAGATTGTCGTAGCGAAGAAGATTGGGGTTATTTGTGAGATTATTGGGAATCGGATAAAGCAAAGGTAATTATTAAATTCTATAAACCTTATAATTTCATCTTCGAATTCTTATTTTATTTCTTCTAGTATTATAAAACATGCGCTGTCAAATATACAATAATATACACTTATAACAAAATTCTCTCAATCTTGCACATACATATTTAATTTATGTAATTAAATCTTATTTATATATTATTAACACGTATAGTTCAAATTTTGTAGCAATATGCTGAACAAATGAAACATAATCGGGGAAAACTTGTTATTCCAAGTAGAGGAGGCTCAAGATCGATAGCAAATCACAAATTTGCCATGGTAAACTATCAAATTAATTCATATTTAAATTAATATATTCAAGAAAATTTATTTTTTACCTTTACTTATATTAATTTTTATTATTGCAGACAAATAAAGAGACTCAAATGCCCCCCAGCCCAATCGAGTTATATCATAAGTTGCATTTTGATCCTATAAAGAAATGGATAAATGATGAGTCACGCATTCAATACGTAAGAATGATTTCTTGACTAATATTTATTTATAGTTATAATATATTGATATTGGTGTTATAAGTTTTTATAATATGTTTTTATGTTGTATTAGGAAAATATTCTCCAACTCAAGGAGGAAGATTGTGCCAAATTAGTTTCGGCGGGAACAAGCATTACTCAAGAAATGGAATCCGACATAGAGAAAAAAGTCATTAAAACTATTTGTGCCAAACATAAAACATTACAATCTGGATGGGAGGCTTCAAGTGGACTTGTTATGAGGAAAAAAGATATACATCTCTTATCAACCGCAGAAACATCTCAATCAGCCTCAAAAGATGAAGAAGATATGAAAAGTAAGATTGTTGCACTTGAGGAGGAGGTTCGAATAAATGAACAAAAAGTCAAACAAAGTGAGGAAAAATGTGAAAAAATGTTGCAGTTATTATCTCGAAGTTCCCGGATTCTCAAAACATATTATGTCCACCCAATGAAGATGAAGCTCGTGTGTATGATGACATAACAGATCTATCAGAGCAAGCATAGCAAGCGTAACATTCTTGACCGGTTATTAAAATTTGGAACTTCTTTCACGTATGGTTTAGTTATTGACTAGTTTCTTAGACATTTTTGTTTGTTGTTTTAAATTTGGATATGATGTCTAAATTACATTTTATTTATCTAGTACTAGTTCATTTGGTGTATTAACAAGCGTATTGTTTATATTAGTCACTATATATGTTAGTTTAAGACTAAACTTTGGTTTGAAACAATAGCAGGTTAGGGACCGAATGACATTATATTTGAGACTAATATTCAGTCACTAGAAAATCAGGTTAGGGAGCAAATGGCATTGTATTTGAGACTGATATTCAGTCACTAAAAATCCAGGTTAGGACTAAATGAAATTCTATCTAAGACTGACATTCAGTTACTGAAAAATCTGGTTAGGGGCTGAATGAAAATGTATCTGAGACTGACATTCGGTAACTAAAAAATCAGGTTAGGGACTGAATGAAAGTGTATATGAGACTGATATGCAGTCAATAAAAATCAGGTTAGAGATAGAAGATGATAACATTTGAGACTGATATTCAGTCTTAAATAGATATTATCAGGGACTGATATGAATTGAGTAAGGATTTTAATGAAGCGTATCGGATACTGAATGATGTAGTATGTAAGACTGAATTTTAGTCCCCAAAAGTTATTATCAGGGACTGGTCTTATATGAAATTGTGGATTTAAAGAAAACACATTTAAGACTGAATTTGGTATTATGAGGGACTGATTATCTGTCTTTGATACAATTACATATTAAGGACTAATTTTCAGTCCCAGATATTAAAAAAAAAACACTATCTAGGACTAGGTTTCTGGGACTAGCTTAGGACTAGCGAAATCAGTCCTGGATTCTCATTAGAGACTGATTATTAACCATCTAAGACTGAATATGTCAGTCTTTGATACCCCTTTTTCTTGTAGTGGGTTGGCAAGAAGACATGAACTCACTTTCTCAAGGTTGTCGAAGACAAAGCTGGTATTTCTATTAATTCATAATCATGTCTAAGATAAAATACGAATAATAGGCTTTAAAAAGGAAAATTCAACAAGAAGCTTCTATGGAATCATAGTCACTATTACTTGCCAAAGGACCCCAAAAATTTGGTTTGTTTAAACCCGCAAACTAGTTGAGCCGCCCCCGGGTAATACTAATGTAATGTTTCTATCAAATTAAAAATTATTCAATAACACATCACCAATAACATTATAAATTTATTTTTTTTGTCCATTAAAAACTATAGACTTCATATTATGCTTTTAATAAATAAGTCAATACATTAGTAATAATAAGAAGTTTTGAAAATAAAAACATAAAAGTTAATATAAATTCTAAAAGTTATTTATTTATCTACATTTCAATAATTTTAAACTATTAGTTATATATTATCTGGTTTGTCATTATTTTGTTTCTTTTATTTTGATTTGTTAAGATATTATACTATTTGTTGTATGTTATTATTTTATTTTGGTCTTAATAAACAATTTAATACATTCCATTTGTTATAAGATCAAAAACAAAATAAAAATTGTTTGATTTTAAGTTGCAAAGGTTTACGGAGATTATATATATATATATATATATATATATATATATATATATATATATATATATATATGTATATATATATATATATATATATATATATATATATATATATATATATATATATATATATATTCTACTTTATAATTTGTTGTTCATCATTTAAATTTTTAAATAAATATTAATTTGACTTTAAAAAAACCTAATATACATTTGATTTTTCTGGTTAACAACAAAGTAAAAAATCTTTGATTTTTGTTTTTTCTTAAGGGATGAATGAAGGTTTTTTGGATGAAGTGTGTTTTGTATTTGTCGGCGGCAACACTTCTCATTCTTCTTGTGTATCGATCCACAAACCATAGGCGCCAAAATTGCCGACAAATACAAAACCTCCGTTATGACCTCACGATCTTTAGTCCGAAGGTTTTTTGGATCTATTTACAAATCTTACACTTGTTAGTGTTAGTAACTTGTTATATTTATTGAATGGTTTAAAACTTTAAACGATTTAATCATTTTATTATATTTCTAATTAGTTTGTTTGTTATTTTTTTCTTTGCAATCTCTATCTAATATGGTTTTAACCAAATTTTGTAAGTAATTTATTATTAGTAAGATTAAAAACGGTTTGGTTTAGATTACAATCTTTATATGATTGTAGATTGAACAGACAAAAATGAGGAGAATAACCTCTGATTTGACTATAGTTCAATCTCTAAGTGTGTTTGACAATTTTGATAGTAGGTTGGATGGTCTCATTATCTTTTTTATTGAAAAAAAAAAGATGTAGATTGTTTGTATCAGACGACTTTAACAACTTTACAAGAAAACCATACGTAGTATTTAATGACTTAAATAGAAATCATATGTAGTATGATCTTAGTTACGTAAAGGGGTACCAATTACTTCATTACAATTTAATTAAAAAAATATATTTATATTTTTAAGAAAACCAACTACTTGATATTTAATCACTTTCAACACCAACATCTGTTAGGTAGAAATTAACAGGTTTTTCTCCTCTATACAATGTAATATGAAAAAAAAATAAACAACAGGTTTGAATATCAACTTTTCTTGTCCAAAAGCCATTTTTTTTTTTTGAATCCCTAAAAGAATCAAACGTCTATTTTTTTTGGAGTTTGCTAGGGCAAAGTATTCAGAGAGAAATTAATGATGAGTGTGAAGGAATTTTTGGAGAGAGAGAGAGAAAGAGAAGAAGTGGAGTAAAAACTGGTTGTGGATCTTTTTTCTTTTAAAGCAAGTGAACACCCGTGGGCAATCCACGTGAAATTTTGGTTAGGCCTGTCAAATCAGGCCGTCGTGTCGTGTTTTTGTCTGACACTGCATGACACGACAAGGTTTTTTGTAACACGAAAACGACACGAAATGATGTCGTGTTTTTTTCACTAACACGAAAACGAACCAATTAAAAAACGACAACACGACACAACACTACAAAGATAATATTACATAACTATTATTTTATTTAATTCATATTTAATCATATATAACACGATAAAAACGACAAACACGAAAACACGACAAATATATGCTCAATCGTGTCAATTTCGTGTGGATTTGTAAACACGAACACAACACGATACAACATCGTGTTTTTTAAACTTGACACGAACACGACAAGAAAACGAATTCGAATTTTGATTTCATCCCGATTTCGTTTCGTATCATGTATTTTTATCGTGTCGTGTCATAAATTGACACTTCTAATTTTGGTTAGGATTTAATCCATCTTTTTTTGTTTGTTGACAGCTATTTGTATCCGTGGGATTCACTTTATAGTTTTTAATTTACTTTCTTCCGTTAGAGCAAACAAAATTTGAAGGTATATTTGGCAATCATTGTGAAATGAAAGTTGTCAATGAAATTTAAAGCTCATTCCAGCATCCAATTAGCCAACTATTAAAGTGATTGTACTTTATTCAATGTAAGTTGTTTTTAAGAGATGTTTTGTTTGATTGTAAACTAAGCTTTTTTATTTGTATTTAAGACTTAAAAGATATATAAGATATATAACAAAGAGTCATTTAAGTGGTGGTTATAGTGTAATAAATTTCCAATCATATTTGATTTTGTGATATAAAATGTGATTATAATAATAACTGTAAAAAAAATTGTTTGAACATGAAGATTAAATAATATCTTTGTAACAAATAATGTATTGGACATTCTATTATAAACATTAAATTCCCCAAGATGGAGCTTGATTTTCTTTTGCTTTGTAAAGTATAACCGGTTTCCCTAAATCAGTCAAATTCAACCAATTTGAACATGGAATCTATAAAATACCACTTCATGAAGTTATGTGTATCGTAAGTTTAATTTCGTTTGAATTTTGTTATTTTTAAATACCCAAATACTTATACAATTATGTGTATGTGTTATGTATTTTTATTAAATACTAAAATATCTCACTACACTCCTCTCTCACGTATTCTCTCCAACTCACAAGCACATGCACAAAAATAAATTTGTACATCAAAATCTTATGCGCACTAATACGATTAAGGTCCGGGAGGCTGATGCGAGATGCGGATGCGCTGGCAACACGTAGGTGTGGCGCACAAGTAGTAATTACCAATATATGTTTACAATATACTAAAAGGCAATAAAGATATAAAACGAATACCAAATATAAAAGTCATGTAACCAAATGTAATGATAATTAGTTAAACATAATGCAAAAACCAAAATGCAAAATGCATGTTTACTATAGTCAATGCAAGATGAAACCAAAATCTAATGGTCATGCAAAATGAAAACAAATCTAATAGTTATGCAAACAGCAAAATGAAACCAAAAAATAAAGACCCTAAGTCATCCCTCATCAATCATCATCAAAGTCAAACCCAAGGTCCATATCCATATCTCCTTCCTCATCACCAGACATGCCAATATCTTCTTCTATCTTTTCATCAACCAACCCAAGTCCACTTGATCCAGCTATTCCTTTTCCTCTATCATCTCTTGATGCTCTAGTTGCATAAAAAGGCTCATTTACCCCTGAGGCTTTTTCCACAGCATCCCAAGTCAAATCTTCACCCTCAAACACTAAATTATCATCTTTATCCTCCTCTAATCTCCCTAACAACCACTCATTGCTCTCATCTATTTCATTCAGAAGGATAGGATCAACATTGTCTGTTCTGTTGGTTCTACGATTCAAGGAACGATTGAACTTCACATAAACCATATCATTTAGTCTACTTTGTGCCAATCTATTCCGTTTTTTTGCGTGAAGCTACAATGAAAGAGATAAAGCACATTAGACATTTCATAGTGCATGTGTAATTAAAAAAAAATAAACTAAATGTCACATAACATACATGTTGAAAGACTCCCCAGTTTCTTTCACAACTTGTTGCACTACATGTGAAGCTAAGCACATATACAACAAAGTTTTGCAAGTTAGGGGTTG